CTGCCATCGGCAGCCAGCACCACTTCAACGGCCCAAGGCACCACCACCACGACTCCTGACACCACCACCGATTCGCCTGCTACCTCGACCACCATTCCATCACGATCGATGAGTGGGTCGCGTGGTTCAAGTCAGCGTTTGAGGAAGACCCTCAAGACGTGGACGTTTTGAAGCAACGTCTGCAGCGAGCGATTCGCTTCGATACGAAGATCTTGGACGCGGAGTCCCGCGTAGGTCGTATGCTTGACGCGCTGATGCGCCCGTTGGAACAAGACCATCATGAGTGGGTACTCCATCAAGAAGGCAAGATGGTCGTCAAAGTCATGACGAAATCGATCAAGCCGGAGTTGCTGAAGACAGCGGTTCAAAAGCAGCTGCAGTTGCAGCGGAACAAGTCGTTGAAGAGCGGCGTCTTTCGTTACGTCAACTGACATTTGCAGCTGGCAACCAGCTGTACGTGGGACTCGACGACGAGTCCAAACCTTCACCAGCAGCGAAGCCGGTAGAAGCTCCATGAGGCGGCAAGCCTCATATGCCAAGACGTGACAGCGGCCGGGAAGACGCCGCCAAGAACAATGGCAGAGTCGGCGGGAAGGCCGAAACGATCGTGCCCAAGAATGCCGAGCCCCCTGCCAGGAAGGGCTACGGTACCGTGTTGGAATCCTAAAACTCCAATAAAAACTGTCGAGATAGTGCAGAAAATACATGCGTATACCGGTATTACTATCTGAATCGACTAGCGTTAGACAAAACCTGAAAAACGATCAATATTCTGGATACCGTTCAACCAACACTGAAAACCGTTCAAACTAATAAACTCTACCAGTAGGTAGATGAGGCATTTTTTTGTACTCTGACCACTTCACTTAACCCCGGGGATTTAAGCATTATACTTCGAAGTATGTGCACGCGGGGGTATGTGCACGGGGTTAAAGGGTTACGGGAAGAAATGTCATTGAACAGTTTCCAGATTTCTCGAATGTTTTCCCATACTAGTAGTTTTCACTAGCGTTACAGAATCATAGGTCAGCACAACAGCGGTGGCAGAGATGCTCCCACTTTCACGTGGTCGTCGTATATGATTTGGGGGTCAACCGGCATTAATCAGCTACCCCAAGTAAATTTGATAGCAAATCCTGTGGATGTATGAGAAACATCAATCCTCTAGCCCATGAAACACTGTAGATCGGTAGGGTACTGTACCGGTACAACGTTAGCCGAATGCCATAACAATCGCGAATTATAGATGTACGGTACAAATGTCGATAATCATATTACACTTGGATGCGGTCTGCCCCATGAGACCGCCCTGAGAATGCCCTAACGATACAAGTGCATGCAAAACGAACCCTTGGCAGGATTAGTAGTCAGCTCTTTATGCAGTAAATGCGCGTTCTCGAGCATTGGATGTGGAGTGTGAGTATGAACTAGCCATGCATAAACGTCCTCTGGGGCTTTGGAGGTGGGTAGACGTGACGTCCTAGTAGAGTCTGTACACCAATGTAAGCCGTGAAGTACTGACGACGATTAATAGGTCCACGACCGCATTTTTAACACATAATCACCTCCCAACTTTCAACCCAGCGAAACTGGCCTAATGTAGAACACAGTTGTTGGTTCTTGATCAGGTGAACCCAGCAACTGTAAAACAGGTCAACGAAGTTACATTGTTCAATGGTTCAGGAAACAGTGTGGTAGTTGCAACCATGCATTTGGATAGACTGAGATACTAGTACTTCCTTTGTCCCACATTAATATGCCAAAAGAAAAACACACTTTTTCCACATTACTGTGAACAAATTGATTTTATTGGCTCATCATGATTATACAAGATTTTCATTGGTCATTAAGTCCTAGCCTACAAAAGAAGGGACACAGGGCAAGACACATTCTGCATCAGAAGTCCAGCGCGTCGCACGGCGGCCTTTTTCAGGTGAGGCAAGACGTAGTGGTTGCCTCCGTCGTGCTCAAGGATCAGTCGCATCACCGACTGAAACGTGAAAAAGACGCTCTCGAGCTTCTCGAAGCTCAGCTCTTCGAACGCAGCGAGGGTCGAGCGAATCACATCGTAGACAGTGCGACTCATCGACTTGTACTGTAGGGATTGAATCGATGCGAAGAAGCCGAGGTCCAGCGCGTTCAGGTCCGGACTGTTGGGCGGTTGTCGACGGAGCACAAACTTCCACCCGTCGGTGGACACAGCTTCAAGTTCAGCATCCGTGATGGAGGCATGAGGCGTCGCATTGTCGTGTTGCAGGACGACACGCTTGTTCGCACTCGGAAAGGACGCCTTAATCGCAGGTATGACCTTGTTGATGATGTAGTCTCGGTACACAGTTGCATTCACGTTGACCAAGGAAGTGGCCATGTACCGGCGGGACGGTTGCGTGAGTTGCGAACAGCGGGGACGGACTCCACGACTGGCCACATGCCCACTTTGCCATCAAACAACACCCCGCGGTCGTGGTCAAATCGAGGCCGGCTGACCACGGCCAAAAACATCACCTTCGGGATAAAGCGCTTCCTCTTCCACGTTCGCTACGGAGGGGTCTCGCCGGGAACCAGGTACACCTTGCGGCGATCTTTGTCGGCATCGAACCACTTTTCGTTCAAATGGACCACATCCCATAGGATCTCAAATTCGACGGTTTCG